ACCATTACTTGTAACTGGTCGTTACCGTTACTTGTACGGTAACTGCTTACACGTTACCGTTACAAAGAACGGTAACCGACCAGCAATTACAGTTACTGTAACGATAATGGTAACTGTCACAGCCCTAACTTTGTTGTAGTTACAAAAATATTCCCGTCGATTTACTACATATGAAATTGAGGATAGCAGATATTCTATTGAAACAAGCAATCAAAGTGCTTGTCAACTTCCTGTATCCTCATCAATTACGATAGACGAAGCCGAATTGCAATTAAAAGGTGCATTTACCTTTTTCACCGAATTTTCAAAAGAAACCAAAGTATATTTCAGTCGAATCGCTAACTTAAAGATAAACTTTTGAAATTATTTTTCTTTCCTTGTAGACACACATTCAATTTTCACTAGAAAACAATAAAATCTGTGTTGCTAGTTCAACGACTCGTGCGAGACACGAAAAATTTACTCGTCATATGCCATTAGAAATTATTATTAAAGACGAAGAAAAAGCAAAAAAAATTTCTCAACTTATCAAAGACTTTTTTGACATACTCGATCAATGTAAAATCAGTACCGCTCTACTGGAACAAGAACATGTGTTCAATTTAAAACAGAGATGTGAGCAATGGGGTCTCGATTATGCTCGTCTTTTCGGCGTTGATCAGATTACACCGTACATACATGTTTTTTCCAGTCATCTACATGAATTTTACGACCGTTTCAACAATCTAAATACATTCAGTCTACAAGGTGTCGAACGTCTTAATGAATTGCTTACACGAGATTATTTCGGTGGATCAAACAGGAAAGGCGAATTTTTTAAACAGATGATATGGAAAAGACTGTGTCAGATGTGGCTATCTTTAACAAGAACTCAACTTTCTCATCTCCGTGAAGCATGGGAAGTAGGTGATGACGCCAATAATGATTATGAAACATCGGATGATGAAGACTATGATGAAAATGGATTTGGGTTCAATGATATTTATAATAAGTCAGACGAAGAAATGTAAGTAGTCAACTATGACGAGAAAATACATAAAATCTTCTACACTTTTCCATCCACCAATGAAAATTAACAAGGTTGTCTTCTTCTTTTTAGCGATTTGGATGACAAATATAGTCAATTACCATCACAAGAATTAGACCTCATCGTATCTAACGATGTAAAATCAACGAAATCAAATGACAATTGTTATTCTTCAAATGATTCTCTGTCATCTATAGCCCTTTCTTGTGATCCAATTACAAATTCAGATAATTCATCAACTCCACCTGGTTTTTCCAAAAATCAGTTGCATTGGCCCGTGTGGTCAATCGAAAATTACAAGTATGAAAATCATTCTTATAACATCACCAATACATGTAATTTAGATACTGGACTCTTTCTTATCTATTATTTGTATCGATCATCTCCAGTTGTTAAACAATATATTTCAAACAATATTACTCCAATATGTGTTAGATTAGAACGGACATTTAATACGGTTACAAAAGAAGGATGGGATAAAGGAAGAATTGAATGGTTATTCGAGGAAAAGTTACTGAAAGTGGGGGATAGAATGCTAGACCTTTATGGTTCAGTAGATGAAACAGTCTTTCATTCAATCAAACATATACAGCGATATATAATCGAAACAGAATGCACTTACAATGGTTGCCCGAATAAAAGCATAAGAAAGGAAAACCAAACTGAACTCTCATTCAAGTAAGTACCTATTTCGGAGCTAAAGCTGCATGAAAAGTTTCCGATCGGGTCGATCAAGCTGAGAACGATTTACTGATATCGGATTCCAACTCTGCTCTGTGCTATTTACTGTATAAAAGAATGTTTGTATCGACAGAGAACAAAAGGAACACATATATTCAAAGAAATTCGAAATCGATTATGAAGATACCTTGGTCGTCTCATTTTCATTGTTAGAGATGTCTACTTAAAATACTCCGATTCAAATATTTCAAATTTTATGCTGTTTTATTATTGCTAATGAACTAACTCCATTTTGTAAACCATTGAAACTAAATGAATTTAATCTGATACGTGTTCGACTATCTCTTGCTGTTGTTTGTTCAAGACGTCAGATACGTGCAGATAGATTATAGACTGTCGACTGTAATGTTTGTCGTAATTGATATACGAATTGTCATAATGTGTTCCTTTTGTTCTTTGTCGATATGAACATTTTTTCTACAGAATGGGTTTTTATCTATCAGCTACATCTTAATCATTTCTCTCTATACTATCCAAGAACGAAAATTTATTTCTTGGCTCTGAATTGGCTGTGTAGTATCGTAAATGATGCTATTTTCAGCTCTGACCTACTTTAATAATAATAAACTCAATAGACAGTTTTGACTGCTTTCTTTTTAAAAATAAAATTTTTATTTTTTTAGTATGACTGGAAGACGAATGTATCCAATAACACTAGTCGCGTTTGAAAATGAAAGTACTGCTCTTTGTGGACAAAAGGTTGTGTCTCCTTATACAAAAAACAAAGAACAGACCCACAGAAAACGCCTTAAAGTTTAAGGCGTTTTCTGTGGGGCTGTTCTTTGTTTTTTTAATTCTGCAACTTACTCTATTCTGTAAGAGTGAATCTATAGATATAAGCGTGTACTATCTTGTGGTGTTGTTATTCCAGGTGGCAGTGTATATAAGTATGTTTTACTTTTTCTGCTCTCCTACAACAGCTCTTTCTCTGTAAAGTCAGCTTTGTTTGTAAAATAAAATCAAGTTCAAGTTCAACAGAAGAAATATCTTGCTTATACATTCAGTGAGCGAACATACTGTAAGGCACACTTATGGACATGTTAGAAAAAGCTCAAAAGAATGTGAACATGTTAAAATACGTCAGCTATTCGAGAAATGTTACCAAAAATGCCAGAAGACTACTGTATTTTGCTTTTTTATACCAACACATCGACTGGCTACTACCGTTTTTTCACCTTCTCTCACAGTATTCTGTAAATCGATTAGAAACAACACTATCATAAAGCCTTTAGATACATTTATCACCTAGTTCAGGCATCGAACCAGCTGTTATACAACATCACACAGGGATATTCCATTGAACAACGCGCGGTAATAGCACTAATGAAATGATTTAGAATGATACAAGATTTGCCCAACACCACTTTTTTCCCTAGTCAGCGATATTAACTACAGGCATCATGTCAACAGACATTTTCTAACAGAACGATATATACAGGAACTGCCACCTGGGAGAACCATGAAAACAGTTTGCTCATACCTGAAGAAGCAAAGTTCATTCCTGATTGACTGGCTGCTATTTCTAGAAAAACATGAAGACTTTCCGAGAACCATTAGAACGTAAACAACAGAATTTGGAGGTGGTGCAGTGAAGAAAATAGATTTAAGTAAGAAATATAGCACTGCGACAAAATGCATGTTCAAGTTATCACTTAAAACACTACTCGAGC